AGGTCCAGTCGTGACCGACTCTGGGGTTGCGGCGCTTATCTTGCTTTATTGGCCAAGGGAGGCGGCGTACAGCTTCTGGGTCATGTGGCCAGCATGACTAAGCCGCTTCTGGCGAACCAGAGCAGCACACGGAAACGCCGTTTACCTTCCCGCCGGGAAGAGGTACCACTGTATTGCTCACTAAAGCACCCAGTACATCGATTGCCCTATGTTAAATAATGACAGGCAAGACATTAAAATAATGACTGGTTGAGCAACAGCTGGGTGGAGTGTGGTGTTCATCACCAGCAATGTTAAGAAACTGGAGGAGGTGGGAAGGGAGGTAAAGAGGATCCTGGAAACGCTTCCAGCTTGCATATGATTTTGCTGCCGCTAGTCATTGCTCTGGGACGCGGGTGGCGCTGTGGGTTAAACCACAGAGCCTAGGACTTGCTGATCAGAAGGTCGGCGGTTCAAATCCCTGCGACGGGGTGAGCTCCCATTGTTCGGTCCCTGCTCTTGCCAACCTAGCATTTCGAAAGCACGTCAAAGCGCAAGTAGATAAATAGGTACTGCTCTGGCGAGAAGGTAAACGGCGTTTCCGTGCGCTGCTGTGGTTTGCCAGAAGCGGCTTAGTCATGCTGGCCACAAGACCCAGAAGTTGTACGCCGGCTCCCTCGGCCAATAAAGCGAGATGAGCGCCGCAACCCCAGAGTCGGTAACGACTGGACCTAATGGTCAGGGGTCCCTTTACCTTTACTAGTCATTGCTCTCCTACTTTAAGCTGTTGAAAAAAGGTGCCGGTATTGTGTATCGGCGCATACCACCAGGAAAAAAAAGCACTGAGAAGCACAGAAAATCTACCAGACATTGGCTGCTCTCTCTCGCAGAATCACAAGACTGCTATGGAGGAAACTGTGAAGTCCCACCTTTTGGAGACAATATAAAAGAACTTGCTGCATCAGATTTGCTATGGGCAACCCTGACTGACCCTGTTATGTTGACAGCAGAAACTCTAACCTACGAGCTTCACCCTGCAAATCAACAAGGGCCTAGTGCAGGGGTCTGCAACCCGCGGCTCCGGAGCCGCATGTGTCTCTTTTACACCTTTGCCGCGGCTCCGGGGTGGATACTAGCGAGGGGAGGAGGTGCATTGTGCGCCCCAACACTCCCCACTGTGGTGGGCGCTGTACTGGCTGTGACGTCGCATGGGGGCGGTGCGTGCGTTAGTCATGCACCGTCCCGACGTCACCTTCCCGGTTTTGTGGCTCCCAGTTTTTCTTTTCTTCGGAAACGGGTCCAAGTGGCTCTTTTTGTCTTAAAGGTTGCAGACCCCTGGCCTAGTGCATTAACAGATGCAGGAAAGAGCAAGCTTTATGTCATGAATCTGACCACTGAGTCCTCTGAAATGACTTCTACTGGTGCTTACTTCCAGGTACTAGAAGCAGCAGCAGCAAGCCAGGTCAAAAACTAACCACAGTCTAAGAAAAACGCAAACGAGCCAAAACACACATTTGAATAAGAGTGAAATTAACTCATCCCCCCCCTCCATCTTTATGAAGTACATTCCCAAGTACTTTGTTGAAAGAAAAGTCCCATAAACACATTGCTTATTAAGGTCAGAAGTTTGACTTGATTTTATGCCAACATACGCTCCTCCTGCCAAAAATACTCTTCCGGCGTTCTGACTCAAGTCTGCATTACTAAAGCAGGAAAGTATCAACTGGTTACACACAAGTAATGAATTCAAAACAAACCATCACCAGAAAGTCTCCAGCTATCACACTGAAGAGAAGCTGTGAGTCACCACCGCAACCACAATCTCTTTGTGTTAGCTGTCCCCTCGCCTGCTCCCACAATTGAAACCTAGACTAGGGGAGGAGAGCGAGGCAGTCATTTTGCAACTCTCTCTTGCAGTGAGTGACTCAGAGTGAGCTGGGGCTCAGAGGGGACCACAACAGTGGAAGTAGCTTTCATAATTAAGGAAGAAATCATTCCAGCAAACCAGTGCATCTTTTTTTCTTCTTAATTGCCTCTCTGCATAAAGGTCATTTGCAGTGATGCAAACTTTCCAAAAAAAAAGCTTGAATTGGGAGACTTTTCCTAGGGTAACTTGCACTATAAAATTTTCAGTTTTCACCCCAAAAAATTCAGATGTCCCTAGATAGTGTGTTCAAATTCAGCATGTTTATTTTTCCTGCATTTAGGAAACAAAACTGAAAACTAAGAAACTGTCAAGTTTCAAATACTGTATTTTCCAATATTGTGTTTTCATTTGACATCCATTCATTGCTACTAATTTATTATTTTTCTTATTGTTTATTTTTCCTGCATTTAGTAAACAAAACTGAAAACTCTGAAACAGTCAAGTTTCACATATTGTATTTTCAAATATTCTATTATCAGTTGACATCCATTCACTGCTGCTAATTGACTTATGAAATATAATTTTTTCCATGGAAGTCTGCTGGGGTTATTTTCTGCTCCACATCACTGGCTAGTGTCATAGCGGGGGAAAAGAACCCCGGACAAGTTTATCCAAAGAGGGCCTGAATGACTTTTCAGTGGCTCCCTTTGAATTCTATGGGGATAAAGCAAGCTAGGATACAGTTAAAAGGAGACTAAACCTGAACAGTTTTCAGGATTGCCGGTGTCCGACTGCACAATAGCTTGGGAGGAATTCCATGTTGTTGTCTGTATAGTAAAAGCTATGGTTTTCCCAGTAGTGATGTATGGAAGTGAGAGCTGGACCATAAAGAAAGCTGATCGCCGAAGTATTGATGCTTTTGAATTATGGTGCTGGAGGAGACTCTTGAGAGTCCCATGGACTGCAAGAAGATCAAAGGCATCCATTCTTAAGGAAATCAGCCCTGAGTGCTCACTGGAAGGACAGATCCTGAAGCTGAGGCTCCAATACTTTGGCCACCTCATGAGAAGAGAAGACTCCCTGGAAAAGACCCTGATGTTGGGAAAGATGGAGGGCACAAAGAGAAGGGGATGACAGAGGACAAGATGGTTGGACAGTGTTCTCGAAGCTACCAGCATGAGTTTGACCAAACTGCGGGAGGCAGTGGAAGACAGAAGTGCCTGGCGTGCTCTGGTCCACGGGGTCACGAAGAGTCGGACGCGACTAAGTGACTAAACAATAACAACAACAAAATGGCTCCACCAGTGCAAACATTTCAGCTTGCCCAACAGACCAATCTCCCCTCTCTGTCCTCCATGCTGTTCTAGGAGTTCTCCAGACACCCCAGAACTGATCTGGGATGGCACCCAGGGGCTGGAGGGAGCCCTGTTTCACTAGGGCAAGGTGATCCAACACTTAACCTTCGAGGCCTTTTTGGCAGCCCTTGGCAAGATTTGATGCCCTTTGTACCACCTTCCCAAATCCGGGTAAGCGATATGCTGGGCTTTGGGAAGCTGTCCAATTTTGGCCTTGTTGGGGGGAGCATGACATGGCAAAGTGTAGCCCGTTGGTTCCATACTCTTGCGGCCCACTTGGTATGAAAAGTTGGACCGCTCTGCACTAGCAGAATGTGTTGCCCTGGCTCCCACGAGCACACCTACATAGCTGGATCCAGCCCATTATCTTTAAGATAACTGATGCGGTTTGAGAGAGGCACAGCTTCCCATATATCACCTCTGGTCAACATTTGTATTGAAACAACACAGAAACCTACCAGACTTGAGGGGAAAGGGGGGTGAATATACATGCCATATGCAGTAACCCTTCTTGTTGGCCACTGTCAACATTAAGAAACCAAAAAAGCAATCACCTCCACCTAACGTTTCCCCCACTTACAGGCAATTTTGATGAAAATTCTAACATCAGATATTATTTGGGGTTTTTCATCTTAAAAGCCAACGATTGAAACACACGCCCTAAATCAATTTGCTTTTCAAGTATTCCAAAGTATTAAGAATACATCCACATACTATTCATCAGGTCTGCACAACACACAGGCCCACCAACCATCCATTGTGGCTTTCCCAAGTCCCCCCCCCCCGCCCTGCTTTTTTCAATCCTCAGCATTTAGTCACAGGCAGGGGTGGGAGTGGTGGGCGGGCAGGGAGAATACCAAACACTTGGCTGGCCGCAATCTATGGTTGCTTTTGGAGGCTTGTTAAGATTCAGAGCCTCAACATATGTGAGCACACACATGCCGCACGCATAGGAAGTTGCCAACCTGACTGAAGGAAGAACAGAATACGGAATCTAATGAAGAAACAAACATGAACTCTCTATGAAAACAAGTACAGGAGCCAGCAGAAGTAAATCAGTTCCTTTGGCTGTTTTGTACAGCCAAAGCTGCACAAAGGGAGGCAGAGGGGGATTTTTTCTACAATGCTCCTTGCTAAACACAGCAGTGGGTGGGAACAGATGATCCTCTGACCAAGTGACATAATTGTGACAAGGGTGCATGCTGCTGACAAAGTGAGGCTATAAAAATACGCCAGGTATCACTGTTATTCCGGCAAGATGAGGACAGCCATTTTAACCACATATCTGTACCTGATGTTCACAAAACACCAACTTATCACTTGACTGGAGAATACGGATGACTAATATGCTTCACGGCAACAGAGTTCGCTGGGGTGGGTGGGGGTGTATTCTGTATGGACTTATTTGCACCACCATAGTAAGAATTTCACCGCCTACATCAAAGCGCAGGTGAATCCTCTATTGTTCTGCCAAGCGCCGAGGGAGAATTTGACATTTTCAACCCTGGCCAGAAATCTGGGGGGAACAGAGAAGTGCAAAGATTCCTGGCTGCTTGGCAGGATGGAACACAGAGCACATACAGGTAAGCAAACATATCCTGGGGTAACCTCTCTCACCTGGCAATAGTCAGGTTTCCAGGTGAGACTACCTGCATCACGGCAAGCAGCTGCGGAAAGACAGCTTGCATCTATCTATCCACCCGCTTACGAGGCAATTACATGTGCACACTTGATATTAACCCAGTAGCGCACGCGCGCACACACACAAAAGAAACACCTGAGCATTAAAATATTCTTACCTGGGAAAGTATGCGGGTGGGGTGACCCTCTTTTAAGGCACTTGGAACAGAGGACATGCACAGTATAGTACAGGCCTGGCCATTCTTGAAGCAAGACATTCAGTTCTTCCACTAGTGGGGTTATGGCTTGCCAGGCTGTCCATATATTTGGTAAGGATGCATGACTAGCGATAGACAAAGTATCTGGCTGCTGGGTGCCTTTGGCAGGTCTATAACTGACTACGACAGGTACCTTCCCCCTGTAGGCATAGATCTGGTATTTCCCATCAGACCGCTGAACCACGTGGCTGTTGATCTGGACGCTGTAGCGGGAGAAGAGCCCCGGGGGGAAGATGAAGGGGAAGCTGTACTCAATCTGCAGCTGTTCCGCGACAAAGGACTGCCCACCCAGGTTGGAGCCATTGATCCACGCCTCTGCGTGGGGCATCTCGTTCTTCACATAGCAAGGGAACTTGTACCATGCCGTCGCCCCGTTCAAGGGCTTGGACTTGGGCTTGTTGACGCAGTAGCAGAGACCCATCTTCTCCAACAGCTCCAGGATCAGCTGCAGGTCCTCTCTGCTCTGGATGTGGGGTTTGAGGAGCAGGCGAATGACATGGGCAGGGAGAAGCCCGTGGAGCAAAAAGCCTTCCACATAGTGGTGGAGCTGCGTGGCCTTCAGCTCGTCCACGTGGGCATTGCCAAGCAGTTTCTGGAGCAAGACCGCGGCATCCCGTTGGCAGAAGACGTTGAGGATGTCAATGAGCCTGGGCAAGTTGTGGAAAACGTATTCCCGAAGGGTGAGGTGCTCCTCAAAGTAGAGCAGCTTGCCGCTCTCGTGCAAGTAGGAAAGAGCGCTCTGGAGACGGTCCTCCGTCAGCCCTGCCTGCAGGCCGAGCCGAGCCGAGTCCCACCAGCTGAGCCACAGCTGCTGAGCCTGCGGTTGGAAGTGCAGCTCCTCCAGCACCTGCCAGGACCTTGGCAGCACCCGGTGCAAATTGGGAAAGATGTCTCTATGCTCGGCTACCGAAAGGAGCTTCTCTCGCAAGCGGCGTACCTGGCAGCAATCCCAGCAGCTGATAGGCAGCACTGGGGAAAGGATTTGCGGCCGGTGGTTTAGCAAATACTGGAACTGAGCTTTCTTGCGCCGCAGGTTCTTGTCTGACACCCCATAGAAGGCGACGTGGGGGCTGGAGCAGCGAAGGTCGAAATCCTGCCCCAGGGCTTCGTCTACCTGCTGGGCCAGACTCTGGAGGCCCTCGTAGTCGCACTTCTCTTGCCGGGAAATCTGGCGGTGGATGTCTAAGCACTTCTCTTCCACCTCCCGTTCAGCGCACAGGTCAGCGTGGGTGCCAACCATGCACACCACGGCATGGGGCACCTTCGCCCCCAGCCAGTGAAGGAAGTGCCCCACGGAGGGATAAAAACACTGCGGCACATAAGTGCTCAGGTTCACCACCAGCACATAGAGGGCTCCCGGAGAGAGGAAGAAGGGCTGGATCACGTCGTAACTTGGGTCTCCCGCCAGCTCGTACACAATGAAAGTCAGGCCCCTTTCCACATCTGCAGTCCAGTCGGTCACCTCTATGCCTTTGCTGCTGCCTGGCAACCCTGCTGCGTAGGGAGCTGGGGGCATAATGGGCCGTAGGGGAGGGTAATATCCTAAGTGCGCCTCCCCATTTATTTTGGGGGACGGGGCCAGCGGAGCATCGTCCTGCCGCTCAGCAGCAAAACATCCCACCTGGGTCTGCCCAGCAGCTTTCGGGGAAGGGTAGAAGAGCATGTCCCACTGCTCACTGGAGATACATCCCAAATGGGAACATTTCAGGGTCGAAGCTGGCAATGGGGAAGCCCCTGGCTGCTCGACAATGGGGCGACGGTGCGGCTGTGCTTTGGGGGAAAGAGGCTGAGGGGGCAGGTCTCTTAGGGTCTGCATGAAGCACCCCTTGGTCCGAGCTCTCCCAGCGTCCTTGCAGGCTGCAGCGAAGGACAGCTCTCCATGCCCTTGTCCCTCGTCCTCGTCCTCCACGAGGCACTTCCTCAGCAGCGTCTTGCCTGCGTTTTTCAGGCCCATCAGGACCAGCTTGAGCCGGGGCTTGAGGGCAGGCTGGGAGTGGGCCAGCTCCTGCTGGTAGGCCGCGATGTAAGGGATGCCCTTCATGCAGACCTCGTAGGGTGGCTGAATCAGAGGGTTGTCCTTGATCTTCCAGAGGCTGATGCGGTTGAGTTGGCCAAAGCCCTCGGGCAGGATGGCGATTTGGTTGCCCTGCAGGACCAGCTCCTCCAGGTGATGCAGCTGGACGATGGAGTCGGGCAGGTAGCGGATGCGGTTGTTGTCCAGCCACAGGGTCCGCAGCTGGCCCAGCTGGCACAGCCCAGCGGGCAGCAGGGTGAGCTGGTTGCGGCTCAGGTACAGCTCTTCCAAGCCAGGCAAGGCCAGCACAGCTGCGGGGAAGTCGGCCAGCAGGTTGGAGGAGAGGTTCAGCATCTTGAGCCGCTGCAGGCCGCCAAACCCGGCGGGCAGGCCTCTCAAGCGGTTCCCGTCCAGCATGAGGCTCTCCAGGGCCCCTAGCTGGCACAAGCCTTCGGGCAGGGCAGCCAAGCCTGTGCCGCTGAGCCACAAGATCTTCAGGCGCCGCAGGGAGGCGATGCCCTCGGGCAGGGCCCGCAGGTGCCGGTTGCCGGAGCAGTCCAGCTCCTCCAGGGAGCCCAGCGCCAGCAGCGCGGGAGGGAAGGCGGGAAGCTGGTTGTGGTCCACGTCCAGGGCGCGCAGCTGCTGCAGGCGGGCCAGGGCCTCGCCGGGCAGGCGGCTGAGGCGGTTGAAGCTCAAGTCCAGCTCCTCCAGCTGCCGCAGCTCGCCCAAGGCGTCGGGCAGCGCTCCGTCGCCGCCGGCGCCCAGCTGGTTGTGGCTGAGGCTGAGCTTGCGCAGCCCGCGCAGCAGCGCCAGCGCCGGGCCGTCGTCGCGCAGGGAGCGCAGGCGGTTGTGGCTCAGGTCGAGCTCGGCCAGGCGGCCCAGGTGCCCCAGGGCGGCGGCCGAGGGCAGCCTCGCCAGCCGGTTCCTGCGCATGGAGAGCACGCTCAGGCTGCTGCCCACGGCGGCGCACAAGCCCTCGGGCAGCTCCTCCAGGCCGCGCCCGCTCAGGTTCAGCGTCTCCAGCGGCGACGGCGGCTCCTGCTCCTGCTGGGGCTCCTGCTGCTGCAGCGCCGACTTGGGCTCCGGCTCTGCCTGCGGGCCGCTCTCCTCCCGGGAGCCCAGCTCCAGCTGCCCGAGGTCGCTCCGCAGCTTGCCGGCGCGCAGGGCGGCGTCTCGCCACAGCCGGGCCGCTTCCTCCGGCCGCTCCGTCTCGGCCATAGCGCCGCCGCCGCTGCAGTCCTTAGGGCGCACCGAGGCGAGAGGAAAGATGGGCCCGGGCACCAGCGCCGCCCCCGCCGCCGCCGCCGGGCTCCCCGCCGCAAGCCGGGCCTCGCCGCTGCAACGTAGCGCGGGGCTTCGCCATGGAGGAGGCTGCGCGCCTCTTGCGCTAGGCAAGGCTGGCGACCGCAGGGATGTCCCGTCCGCCGCGCCTCTTCCTCCGCCGCCGCGCCCGGAGGAGCATCCTTTCTCCTGGCCGGCCGCTCCCAGCAAGGCGGCGCCGGCGGATTCCCGAACCGGGACTGAGGGGAGGAAACTGGAGGAGGTGCCCGTGGCGGCGGCGGCGGCGGCGGCAACAGCAGCGCCGCCCCTCGGCGCGTCAGTGCACGCCTGGTCGGAGCCGCCCTTGCAGGAGGAAAGGGCGCGCCAGCCTGGAGCGCAGGCTTTTCCTCGCTTCCCTTTGCTGCCGGCTCGCCTCCATGAACGAGGCTCGCCGTCCTCACCCGAAGGAGGCAACTCCGAGGGGCCAAGGTCCCTTAGCACCCCCCCCATAAAATATTGGGGGGGGCAGCCCCCCCAGCTGATGCTCACAGCCATTCAAATGGTGTATCAGGATTTATGTTGGGGGGCAGGCTTTATGTGGGGTGCAGAACCTCAGTTAAGTATTTTTATTGATTTGGGACAGCTGCCCCCCTGCTCCCCCTCCTGGCTATGCTCTTGCGTGTCCTATGATTGATTAGGTGGGGTGGGGCTTATCTGCTCCCCCCCCTCATATTTTATTCAAGTTGGCATTCCTGACGTCACCTAAGGTTCAGACCTGCAGGAAGCCGGGGTGTTTCGGGGACTGGTGTGCTGCAATGTGAAAGTTCCATCTGTGTAAAAAAGATAATGATAATTAAAGTAAAGGGATCCCTGACCATTAGGTCCAGTCGTGACCGACTCTGGGGTTATGGCGCTCATCTTGCTTTATTGGCCAAGGAAGCCGGCGTACAGCTTCTAGGTCATGTGGCCAGCATGACTAAGCCGCTTCTGGCGAACCAGAGCAGCGCACGGAAACGCCGTTTACCTTCCCGCCAGAGCAGTACCTATTGATCTACTTGCACTTTGACGTGCTTTTGAACTGCTAGGTTGGCAGGAGCAGGGACCGAGCAACAGGAGCTCACCCAGTCACGGGGATTCGAACTGCCAACCTTCTGATCGGCAAGTCCTAGGCTCTGTGGTTTAACCCACAGCGCCACCCATTCACACATGCAAGGTAGAGCCAACCAGATAGTAGAAGTTGAGAGCTTTTAAATTCATTTCGGGGAGCGCTCCATACCTCTGTTTGTGTGTGTTTGTGAACTGGTTCAATCCATGGGGGAAATTCTCAGGAACAATACTTAACTGCCAATGTGGGCAAACCTTTGGCCTGCTTAGTGTTGCTGAAGTACAGCTCCCATCAGCCCCAGTATGTGCAGCGACCAGTGATGATGGGAACTGAAGTTCAGTAACATCGGGCAGCCCAAAGGTCCCCAACACCAGCACTACTGAAATAAATGAGAGCAACATGGGATCACTACTGCAGTTAAGACAATGGCCTCGCCTCCTTGTCCTTCTCTACACTGCCCAACCCAAGCTTCTTGAGTTCTATTCCCACTTCCTTGTGGAGGAAGAAAAGATAGCAGTTAACTATTAGAGATCAAGGTTCACACAGGTGTCTGTTTATTTACTTTTCGCTTTTGCTTTTGCTAACCCTTCCTCCAAGGAGCTCACAATCTACCTCACCCCAGCAGCCTTGTGAGCTTACCGTAGTTCAGGTTGAAATACGTCTGTGATCATCCACTGATGATCCACTGTGATCCTAGAATAGGGGAAATAATAACCTTTTTTTTAGACTAGAAAGGGTTTCCAGTCTTCCTTAAAATATTCTAAATTTGTATGTTTTAAGAGTGCCATCCATTTTGCAATCTCTGCAATATGCCAAGATTTTCATCAGGTGATCATATCAAAGTATATTGTGAGTTGGACCCATCCGTACCTGGAGATACAAGAAATTGAACCTGCTAAGCATGTGCTCTGCCCACTGAGCTACAGCCTTCCTTTATGGTGGACAACTACCAGGACACCCGGGGCCTTGACCAATAATCTCTCCTGCCTAAGTAAAGTTAGGGTCAAACTGCACTTCCCACGATCAGGGGGGAAACAAAGGGCCAGGCTGTCAGGGATGCAGGTCAGCACAAAGAAGCAAAGCCAGTTTTCAGTGCTCACAACTTTTTATTCAAGGAAATGAACATACAACTCAGCGACACTTCCCAGTAGGTCTTGGCCCTCTGGAGCAGTTGTCAGGACTGAGGTCCCTGCCTTCTGAGGCTCCTCCTCTCCCAAGCAGTCTCAAACAGCATCTGAGCATCTCTGGCCTCTGTTCCACTCTCCTCATTATTCTGTGTGTTCTTGGAGACAAGGCTGGAGGGGAGCTTGTCGCAGCAGGAGAGGGAGACTCCCTGGATTCCTCATCAGTCTCTTGACGCCCCTCCTCTGCTTCAGCCTTGGAGTCTGAACTGCTCCCTTCCACAGGTTCTTCTTCCTCACTAAACTTTGTTGCCCCTTCAGCCTCCAGCTGGATTCTCTGAATTGCAGAAATTGGCCTCTTGGCTTATAGTGGCCACTGACACATGGCTTAAAAAGAAAGAAAGAGGAGACTAATTTGCAAATGCTTTTGGAAGTGAGGGATATAGGGGAAAATAGAGGGGCATGATGGTTGCATTAGAAGTTAGCAAGGACACCGCAGGGACTTGAACCCCGTCCTGGAAACCTTGAAGGTGGTGCTTGAAATGGTCCTTTGGTGCAATGGTGGAGTTAAGAATCAAGCTCAGTAACTGAAGTCACCACCCTCCCATGCTAATACTTTGGCTTAATAAAAAAGGAGCCAATCGTCATTTGGTTAGTGTGGAATAGAGAGATAGAGAGGGATAGAGAGGAATAGAGAGAGAGAGAGAGGGATAGAGAGAGATAGCAGTTGCATTGGAAGTAAGCATGGACACCGCAGGGATTTGAACCCCGTCCTGGGAACCAGGAGCGCCGACCACCAGTGTCTTTTGCTTTTTTTTTTTAGCAATGCAACAAGGAGAAAAGCAAAACCTGAGAGAACATTCTGTGAATGTTCTCTCAGGAAAAAGAAAAACCTTAAGAGTTATGAAGAAATCTGCTGCAAAGGGCTTCCACTTCTGGCGAGTCAGGGACTGCAACCTGAAAGACTCTTAGCAGAAAACAATGTTAATGCAAAAAGTTGCAGATGGAACACGATAACAGAATTCTTCCCTAGTCAAGCAAGGGGTACTGACCTAAATATCCTTGAACAATGGAATACCATTTTGACTGCCATTTTTGTCTGAAGCTTGATGAGCCATTGATCTAGAAGGGCAGAAAAGAGAGATAAGATTCAGACTTAAATCTCTGCCATTAAGCTTGGTGTGTGGAAAGAGGAAAGATTGCTCAATGCTCACCCTTTTGTTTGTCCATTTGACTTCATGTGTCTGGCAGCTCCTTCCGTTGGTCCGTGATCTAGAGTCACTAGTTTCTCTTACCAGCAGGTGAGCCTCAATGTGGTGACACGGAATAGGGCCTCTTCTCTTCTGACGACTCAGTCGCTGCAACCTGAAAGAGTCTCAGCACAATAAGTTGCAGACAGAACACAACAGAGATTTTCTCCCTGGCCAAGCAAGGGGGATTTATGTCATCTTGTCGTTGCTGCTGGAAAGGCCAGTCCTTTCAGTACAGCTCCACTTGCAAGACACATTGGAGACATAGTCCAGAGCTAATGGCTCCATTTTAGGATGGGAATATACAGAAGAATCCTTTGTGGTAAAAAGTCGCAAACCGTCTTGCCGCAACCTTAAAACGAATGAGGAATCACAGAGTACCATTTTGACTAGATATTTCCTCCCTAGTCAAGCAAGGGATACTCACCTAGATGTGGTTCAGTCAAAGAGTGCCATTTTGACAGTCATTTTTTCAAGAAGCGGGTGAAGAGATTAAAAAGGAGCGACCAGTACAAAAGCATTGCACTGAAAAAGATCACTGAGTTGTCTTCATCCAAAGACTAATTAGTTTGTAAGGTAAATAAAACTTTAAGACTTTAAAGTGTCTCAGCACAAGAACGGCAGGTGGAAAAGATATGTTCTCTCCAGCCAAACACGAGATACTCACCTAGAAGCCCTTCAATCAGAATACATTTGCACCTGCCGCCACCTCTGAAAAGTCCAAAGTATTTAATAGTTACCTTCCTTCAACTGCAGCACTAGTTTCCAGGTGGGAAGTCACTGGCAAAGGAAGCTGACTGCTAGACCTGGTTTTAAAATTGGTATTTTAAATGTATTACCTTCAGTGCTGGAGGAACCAAGTTTTTTTGTATAGAGTCAACGCTTTGTGTTGTCTGAGCAATGTAGCAATAAAATAAAATCCGAAAACCTTGGTTATTACCACCAGAGAGCCACGTTACGCATCGGGGTAATCTTGCCCGGCCTGTTCCATAGTTGCCTTTTGAGCTCCATTTCCCATATCTTTTCGTAATCTTGCCGGTTCTGCAGGAAAGGCTTAGTGGAGTTGATGTTCTAGTCTGCTTCCTCATTGGATCCTCACAACAACCCTGTGAGGCAGGTGAGGCTGAGAGATAGAGCGCTTCATGGCAGAGGGAGGATTTGAACTCGAGTCTCCCAGGTCCTAATCCAGCACTCTAGCCTCTCTCAGGAACTTCCTTCGGAGAAAGCACTTTCCTCCAGGATCCTGGACTTGCCATGTCCCTGAGCAGTCACTCTCCAGTCGCCATCAGCAGCTTCATCCTCAAAATGATTTGCTTTTTCAGCAAGTTTTTAACTTACCTGTCTATCTCTCCTTCCAAGGCAACCTGAGCCCACATGAAATTAGAAGGAACGGCTTTGTCCTCTCATTGTCTTCTTTGCTTTCTCTCTCTCGACATGCACATTTCTAGCTTCAGCAACAAAAAACCCCAACTTTCCCTTCATGAAATGACTTCTCTAGTTGCCTTTTAAAAGAAAAGCCTTCTATTTTTCCTACTTATTTTCCCTCTTCTTTAAGTGGACTTCATATCCATGTACCCTTTCATGTGCTCCTTCTGTTCATCCAAAGTCTCCTTAGTTTGAAAGGTAAGCAAAATTGGATTCCCCCTTCCTTCCTTCCTCTTCATTTTCTCTTGGCTTTTCCAGTTAAGTATTTTCAATTTTCTTGATTCTCTTTAAAATCTCCATCTTGGTATTTTTCTCAGTTTTTGTTTGTTTGTTTGTAAAATACGTCCACCATGACTTCTGTGACTCTGCAGGAAGAGGTGGCTTCATCCGAGTGTTGTGGGCTCTTCAGACACAACTGTAAAGAGAGGGTGTCAATGAGATGCACCTGGAAGAGACTGGGGTCTTCAGCCCCTTTTTCCTCTCCTACAGAAACAGAGGAATAAAAACAGCAGGTTACCTAAAGCCGCGCAATCAAAATGCATGTTTC